ATCAATCAAATTAGTTGGGAGTGAAGCAGCGCTGGAGGAGAGAGTAGAGTGCTGCCCTATAGGAGAGACCCAGAGACAGGTATGTGAGGTAGAGGTTACTATGGGAAGCTTTCCTAAAGAGATGTGTTTTAACCCCTTAAGGACCAAACTTCTGGAATAAAAGGGAATCATGACATGTCAGACATGTCATGTGTCCTTAAGGGGTTAAGGCACTTTTTAAAAGATGCAAGACTAGGGGGAGTCTGATGGTGCTAGGCAGGCTATTCCATAGGAAGGGAGCCGCCCGCGAGCAGCGGTCAGGAGAAGGTCACGGGCAGAGCGAGGAAACCGAGAAGGGGCATACCTATGGATCTGTGAGGTGTTATAAGAGGGGCTAAGATTATTCAATGCTTTATAGGTATGGGTTAGTACTTTGAATTGACTCCTATAGAATACAGGAAGCCAATGTAAGGACTGACAGATGAGTGAGGTGTGAGAGGACCGACTAGAGAGGAAAATCAGTCTGGCGGCAGCATTCATTACAGACTGTAGCAGGGCAATACGGCTATTGGGAAGACCAATTAGGAGAGGATTACAATAATCCATGTAAAGGATTATAGAATCTGTGGGGAAAATGTCTACGACGTTATTTTACTATCTGTAACTTTATTATTTGGTAAATGATTTTTTAAAAGCCCAACCAAAATGTTAATTTTGTTTCAAATAACCCCTTTACACTGGCACTTATTTATACACGACTGTCAGGCTATACAACCATACCCATCAATTGTGTATAAATGATTAGCAATAATTGCAAATTATGCCATAACTACAGTCAAAAAGCTCACAAAGCAGCGGCATAGTGACCTGCGACAATGTAAGCCTCTGAAGATGAATACAGAGACTACTTTTCTGTGTCCAATGCTCGCCCTTCATTATATCTACAGCTCCTTATATCCACCCACACACACCCACACACACACACACACACACACACACACACACACAAGTCAGCCCCTATTTTTTCACTAATGGTGTTAGTGGTTGCCTCATGTTTGAGTTTCATCTAAGGCCTCGCAAAATCTAGAGCCGCTCTTGGCCGCTCTTGGGTGGGACAGTGTGCACTGGGATCGCCCAACTAGTTTGACATGACACTGTTTAGGCTGCTGACCTTAATCACATCCAGAGATACAGTAATACAGCATAGTGTGTGACTGTGAGCAGAGCCAGATTAAGTGCCCTTTGGGCCTGGTGCTGACAATTATGATGGGCCTAATTCCAGAATCTTATCCACAGAAAACACTAAAACAGTCATACCTCCCAATCGTCATGTATCTGATGAAGGTGGTGCTGGAGGGAAACTCACAGGATATAACTATCAGAAAACATATTACCCTATGCTAATCTCTCGCTTTCATCTTTCACGTAAATCCAGGATTTCGGTGGGCGGGGTAAAATGGTGTGCCACCAACGCGAATCACGTAACCAAAACTGCCCAAAGGGACAAACATGCCAAAAAAGGGGCATGTCAGACTGCCTGCCAATCATGCAAGCTGGCCATCTAAGGGCATACTGTGCCAAGAGCACCCAGAGCTTGGCATAAATGTGCCTAATGAGGTCCTCAATCCACGCTTTCAAGGACTGTCCCTGAGCACTCGCTGGTCCACTCTTCTGCTAACCTCTTTACTAGCAGGCAGAAGCTCCTATTATGCAATCTGGGACAGAGAAAGTGTGTGTAGACTGAAGCCGCAAGAGCATTTGCATAGTGCGCAATGTCAGCTTTACCCTAAAGGGACACTATAGGCCCCCAGAACACTTCAGCTCATTGGGTGCAGTTCCCCTTTTGCTGTAATGTTAAACAGTTCCAGAGAAACTCTAAGTCTACTTCCAGTGGCTGTATATCAGACAGCCAATGCGGGCGCTTCCTGGAATGAAACTGACTTTTGGTTTGGTATCTGACGCTGGACTTCCTCACACTCTGTAAGAGGACATCCAATCTCAGATTTTTCCCATAGGAAAGCATTAATTCAATGCTTTCCTATGGGGAGGTCTAATGCGCGTGTAGTCGCGGGACGCCGGAGGGGGTGGAGCGTTGGTAAGTAAATAAAGGGTTTTCAACCCTTTATTTAACTGGTATGGGAGGGCGCAAGGGAGGGTTGAGGCAGGGGGAGCGATAGCGCCAGTAATGACGCTTTGTATTCCTGGCACTATAGTGTCCCTTTAACTAATTTCATTGGCAGCCAATCCACACTAGTTTTGTTCCCCTACATCCCTCTTAGGTTTCCATACTTAAGCAAAAGCATGTGAAGAGTAGTTTTAAAAAAAAAATGTTTTTAAATGTTTTTTTTATTTTATTTTTTTAAATCAATGGGCCTATTTCATAGTCATAGTCCTGGAGCTACAGCTCCATCAGCCCCTATTAATCTGGCCCTGACTGGGAGTAGGGAAAGGACATACCACGTTTCCAAGTTACCTCCCTACTTAGGAGGACAGTCTCTATATTGTTCACAAATCCCTCTGTCCCTCTTTTCTAGGAGCTCCATATTGTTGGTGTGTCTGAGTATAACAAAGCTCCACAGTAATAATTCTCTCAGTAATGTGTCTGTGTATATCAGAGCTCCACAGCAATAATACTCCCAGTAATGTGTCTGAGTGTATAACAGAGCTCCACAGAAATAATACTCCCAGTAATGTGCCTGAGTGCATAACAGAGCTCCACAGCAATAATACTCCCAGTAATGTGTCTGTATGTATAACAGAGCTCCACAGCAATAATACTCCCAATAATGTGTCTGGGTGTATAACAGAGCTCCACAGCAATAATACTCCCAGTAATGTGTCTGAATGTATAACAGAGCTCCACGGCAATAATACTCCCAGTAATGTGTCTGAATGTATAACAGAGCTCCACGGCAATAATACTCCCAGTAATGTGTCTGAGTGTATAACAGAGCTCCACAGTAATAATACTCCCAGTAATGTGTCTAAGTATAACAGAGCTCCACAGCAATAATACTCCCAGTAATGTGTCTGAGTGTATAACAGAGCTCCACAGCAATAATACTCCCAGTAATGTGTCTGATGTATAACAGAGCTCCACAGCAATAATACTCCCAGTAATGTGTCTGAGTGTATAACAGAGCTCCACAGCAATAATACTCCCAGTAATGTGTCTGAGTGTATAACAGAGCTCCACAGCAATAATACTCCCAGTAATGTGTCTGAGTGTATAACAGAGCTCCACATTAATAATACTCCCAGTAATGTGTCTGAGTGTATAACAGACCTCCACAGCAATAATACTCCCAGTAATGTGTCTGAGTGTATAACATAGCTCCACAGCAATAATACTCCCAGTAATGTGTCTGAGTGTATAACAGAGCTCCACAGCAATAATACTCCCAGTAATGTGTCTGAGTGTATAACAGAGCTCCACAGCAATAATACTCCCAGTAATGTGTCTGAGTGTATAGCAGAGCTCCACAGCAATAATACTCCCAGTAATGTGTCTGAGTGTATAACAGAGCTCCACAGCAATAATACTCCCAGTATTGTGTCTGAGTGCATAACAGAGCTCCACAGTAATAATACTCCCAGTTATGTGTCTGTGTATAACAGAGCTCCAAAGGAATAATACTCCCAGTAATGTGTCTGAGTGTATAACAGAGCTCCACAGCAATAATACTCCCAGTAATGTGTCTGAGTGTATAACAGAGCTCCACAGCAATAATACTCCCAGTAATGTGTCTGTGTGTACAACAGAGCTCCACAGCGATAATACTCCCAGTAATGTGTCTGAGTGTATAACAGAGCTCCACAGCGATAATACTCCCAGTAATGTGTCTGGGTGTATAACAGAGCTCCACAGTAATAATACTCCCAGTAATGTGTCAGTGTATAACAGAGCTCCACATCAATAATACTCCCAGTAATGTGTCTGAGTGTATAACAGAGCTCCACAGCAATAATACTCCCAGTAATGTGTCTGAGTGTGTAACAGAGCTCCACAGCAATAATACTCCCAGTAATGTGTCTGAGTGTATAACAGAACTCCACAGCAATAATACTCCCAGTAATGTGTCTGAGTGTATAACAGGGCTCCACAGCAATAATACTCCCAGTAATGTGTCTGAGTGTATAACAGAGCTCCACAGCAATAATACTCCCAGTAATGTGTCTGAGTGTATAACAGAGCTCCACAGCAATAATACCCCCAGTAATGTGTCTGAGTGTATAACAGAGCTCCACAGCAATAATACTCCCAGGAATGTGTCTGAGTGTATAACAGAGCTCCACAGCAATAATACTCCCAGTAATGTGTCTGAGTGTGTAACAGAGCTCCACAGCAATAATACTCCCAGTAATGTGCCTGAGTGTATAACAGAGCTCCACAGCAATAATACTCACAGTAATGTGTCTGAGTGTATAACAGAGCTCCACAGCAATAATACTCCCAGTAATGTGTCCGAGTGTATAACAGAGCTCCACAGCAATAATACTCCCAGTAATGTGTCTGAGTGTATAACAGAGCTCCACAGCAATAATACTCCCAGTAATGTGTCTGAGTGTATAACAGAGCTCCACAGCAATAATACTCCCAGTAATGTGTCTGAGTGTATAACAGAGCTCCACAGCAATAGTACTCCCAGTAATGTGTCTGAGTGTATAACAGAGCTCCACAGCAATAATACTCCCAGTAATGTGTCTCAGTGTGTAACAGAGCTCCACAGCAATAATACTCCCAGTAATGTGTCTGAGTGTATAACAGAGCTCCACAGCAATAATACTCCCAGTAATGTGTCTTTAAACACAATAAATGTGTTTAGAAATCAGTCTGTGTCAATGAGATACATTGTTCTTGTTATAAATTACATGACATGTGCACAGTCGTTATTCGGCATGTGCTAAAACCTTAATAAAATAACTCTGTGACACCATTTCTGTTGGAGTAAAAAGTCCACAGCTTTATTAAAAATTTTAATTCAACAATTTAGGGTCATTGTCACAAGTATTAATTATGTCCGACCTTCTTGCCCAATACCCCCGACAATGACCCTACCAAATAACATTAATAAAACATTCCAATAATACATAACGTTTAACCCATGGCCTACCAAAGAGGCCCCATAACCATATGTTTAACTGTAGGGGTGTACCCAGACACCCCTACACCCCCAGATTCGTAGCCACCAACGAGCTACCATTTTCCACTCCGGCATAGTCCAGCCTAGACCTTGGCCTGCCCACTTCCTATTCCACCCAAATCCTCTTTAACCCAGGCCCTATTCCCGCCGCTGTGACCAAACGGGAAACTACCTACCAAACAAGACAACCGAACACAAAGGGAGGGTGGGAGGGACAAGTATCAAGTAAGTGTGATTTTGATTAAAAAGGCCAGCTCACCAAATTGGCTGTTATTTAAACCTTATTCTCCTCCCCCCCCCTGTCCAGACATTACTTTTCCACACCCCTTGACCTTAACTTCACCTGCCAACTCTCTGGCCCTGTCAAGGCCCACTCCCCTCCTGTGTTGCTCCATGGGCTTCATTTTAGTTCTATAAATTGTTATTAGTAGCTCACCTAAAACTTTGCAAGGCAGCCCCACTCCTGACCCCACCCCCACTCACACCCAAAATATCCTGCCCTTGGCCATGCTTTCACTCACACCTGCCCCCCTGTAAAATGTTGAATGGGGTACCAAGCTCACATTTGATATCACTGTATTAAAAATGATCAGAATAATGATGGAGTTTAACCTCCACCTTTCAGAACACTTTGATACCAGAATTGTCTCTGTCCTCTGTCTCTGCCTCTCTGTCCTACGTTATAGCCGGGTCCCTGCTTGGTCACTGTGTTTCGTACTATGTGACTGAACAATAGATGTCTAACACCGGCCGGCCGGCCGGCCGGATCTTTCCAGAGAAATTCCGCCCATCTCATATTGTAAACAGATATACTTGGAATATAAATCACAAATTGCTTCCATTCTACAATTAACACAAACTCTGTCGTTGATGTTCCTAGAGACGGCAGTTGTTAGCGGCGGAGAATGCCATCCCAACACATTTACCATCAATCTGCAAATCTATATCTGTTAGAGGTTATTTAATGGCCATTCCTACTTCATGCAGTAACAATGAGCTAATGTTCAAGAGAGATCTAACTGCGTTTATTGCCCACAATGCATTTCTAAGATGCAACGTCCCACGTAACTAATACTTAAAGGAACCCTCCAACTCGCTGCTTTACGTGTGAAGAGTAGTTTCTCTTTATTTCATATTATAAAAGAAATCAGCACCTTATTACATGCTTATTATGTTTAAGGGTATTTCTACTAAATTGTTACTTTTCTAATGGAGTCTTCCTTTGAAGGCCATCTTCCCTATGTCACTCACACTTTACGCCAGCAATCAATTTAAACTGAAATATTGTTTTCACTTGTGAAGTTGGCAAATTATCTTTTAAAATGTCCCTGAGGCACAATCTATACCTAAATATTTAAGGACGGATTTTCCAAACACCAGCCTGTGGTGACGTCTTATTTCACAGGATGGCAAGACATTTTATTAACATTTTCATCCCATTAATTATGGAATTTACTAAATGTGGGATGGACCCATTGACCGAATGGTCTGAATAAAGATTTGATCATTCACTTAAAGGACCACTATAGTGCCAGGAAAACATACTCGTTTTCCTGGCACTATAGTGCCCTGAGGGTGCCCCCACCCTCAGGGTCCCCCTCCCAATCGGCTCTGGAAGGGGGAAAGGGGTTTAAACTTACCTTTTTCCAGCGCTGGGCGGAGAGCTCTCCTCCTCCTCTCCGCCTCCGTTACGCCCCGCCGGCTGAATGCACGGGGTAAACAATTTTATATAATAAAAGGTTTTACGATATCCTTTATTTTGTTCAAACAGGTTTCTGAAATGTTATCAGAGAAGCAGAAGTAACATTTTTACCTTATACATTATGCGATAAATAAATTGTTAGAATACGATGATTATGGCTATTTCTAGGGACCTTGGTTTAGGGAATGATCAACATGTTACCCACATACAGCAGGTTTAGTTACCTGTCCAAAGCCAGGTATCTCCACAATACAGCAGATTTACATTCTACTTAGAAGCCCTATAAATTGCCCATCTTCCATCTCACCCTTCACTGGCTTCATAACACAGCCATGGCATTTGGAGGCAGGAGGCAGGTGGGAGAGGGCAAATGTCCAGATTCAGCAGCCATACTCCCCCCCCCAGAGCAGCAGAGAGGGGGTAGGTGAGGCTTGTTGGGTTGTATTTCATTTAACATTCTTCACATTCCACAGGGAAAGTGAGTGCAATTTCAGAATTTACTTTTCAGCTTTTGAATTATTAATCTTGGTTATTTGATTGCACTGTTATATAGAAATGGAAGCTGGAACGCAATCAGAACAATCTAAGCACAAAATGTAGAAAAACAAAACAGAAATGTAGAACAGAAAGTATACAATATATTTCTACACTTTTATTGCAGCGTTACTTTGTTACAGCAGTTACATTACAGGGTAGCTTTTCAATCATATGTTACAGTTAAAATACTATCTGGTTTAATAAACGTTTCAGTGTGACAGAGAAACAGACACTCATGGGGAGTGTGTGTCTTTGCATGTATGTATTTCTGTGGCTTTGTTGACGTGTATCTACATGTGCCTGTGTGTATCTCTTTCCAAACGTGCATTTGTGGGATTCAAAAATTATAGTAACCAGTTCCGACTTCAGGTTTCCAACTCCACAGGGTTGGCCCAAGACATTGTGCTGCCGGGGACTAAGGGACTGCCTGGGACTAAGACTCCATCCCCCTCCCCCAGTCACACATGGTTGGCAAAAGCACATGGGTGGCAGAGTAATTCTATTAATGCAATAAATGCATAAACCTTGTATATCGTGCCAATGAGCAGCAGGGCCGGCGCGTCCTATAGGCACTTCCCCCTGCCAGACACTCAATTTAGCATGGCAGGGCGGCGCGGACCGCAGTACAGGAGCTTCTGTTATCTGTACCCGGCTGCCGGCAGACTGACAGGAAGTGTTCACAGAGTGAGCACTTCCCGCCAGTCCGCCGGAGGCCAGATACAGGAAAGAAAAGTTCCTGTACCGCGGTCCACGCCGCTCGGCCACGCTACAGCGCCCCCCCCCCCCATCATCCATGTATCATGTAATGTTTGTGTTGTCTGTGTAAGTGATAGGTGTGATGACTGTGTGTGAAATTTATGCTATGTGTTGGCTGTGTGTGATATCTGTAATGGGTGTATTATTATTATTATTATTATTATGATATTTATAGAGTGCCGTCAAATTCCGCAGCGCTTTACAATGGGTGGACGAACAGACATGTAGTTGTAACTAGACAAGTTGGACACACGGGAACAGAGGGGTTGAGGGCCCTGCTCAATGAGCTTACATGCTAGAGGGAGTGGGGTAAAATGACACAAAATGGTAAGGATAGTATTAGACTAATGACAGTTGCAGAAGAGGAATCAGTCAGGAGCTATTAACAGTTTAAAGGATACGCTTTTATGAAGAAGTGGGTTTTTAACGATTTTTTGAAGGAATGGAGACTGGGTGAGCATCACACACAGGCACACACAAGCAGACAGCCACACACACACACACACACACACAGGCAGACAGTCACACACACACACACACACAGAGGCAGGAGGCCATACACACACAGGCAGACAGCCACACAAACACACAAAGGCAGACAGCCACACAGAGGCAGACAGACACACACACACACACACACAGGCAGACAGTCACACACACAGACTCTGGCAGACAGTCACATACACAGACACAGGCAGACTGTCATACACTTACCTCTGTTCATTCTGAGGAGTGGAGGCAGTGCAGGAACTTCCTGCTTTCCCTGCAGTAGTTAACCTACACTTTTAGCTCCGTGCCCACCATTATTTTAGCTCCGCCTCCACTGCACGTTAAGCTCCACCCCACCACAATTTTATTTTTTCAGTCTTAGGAAACAGGATACAAGAAACAACGAAATTACAATGTTCTCAGGGAGGGGCAGTGTTTTATGCTCAGCTAATGAGTGAACTGCCTCAGGTGAACTTAGATGGACAGGTAGGAGCCACTGGTGATGTCCAGCCCCCTAGTGCTGCAGGCAATGCCAGGAAAACAAGGTTAGAACCAAAGTCCAGAAGTGGCTCAGAGGCAGGAACTCAGGCTTAGGATGTAGAAGGCCCCAGGTTCAAATCTGTTGGGCAATTCTGGGGTGACCACATCTGAGAACCGTGACAGGTTTAAGAATGCCCTCTGGGTTTGAACTGGCTGCTCACCATTTCCTTCCAGATCAGAATTACCCTCTTCCTCTGAGAGATCGAATACATTCTCTGGCAGGAGGTACTTTCTCCCATAGGCATCAATGCCATACGTACGGCCTTCTTTCAGACTAATGAAAAACACAGCACCAACTGTAGCTTTTGCTGTAGTAGTTTTCACAGGGGTGACAGTGGGGGGGGGGGAGGTGATAGTGGTTGTGATGGTAGAATGAGGGGATGGTGACAGTGGGGAGGGGTAGTGTGTGTATGAATGGTGGCAGTGTGGGGGGGATGGTGACTCTGTGAGAAGTTAATATGAGGGGATGTGACGGTGTGGGGGTGGTGGTGACAGTGTGGGAAGTTGTGACAGTGGGGGGAGATGATCATGGTGGTGGTGACAATGGGGAAGATGATGACAGTGGTGATGGTGACAATGGGGGGTGGTTACAGTGTGGGATGATGGTGGGGATGGGGGGGTAGTGGTAGTGTGACTACATAGAGGGACCCCGCACCCGGCGGCATGCAGGGCAAGCCGCCGGGCCCCCTCCTGGTCGGTCCAAGACCGAGGGCCGACACCTCAGTCGGCCAATTTAATCACTGGTTCGGCAAACTTATTACATTTTAGTAACAGGTTCGCGCAAACTGGTGAGAACCGGCTGAATCCCACCACTGCCCACATGTTGATGTGCGAGTATCTGTGAGTATCTGCAAATTTATCACTGTGTGTCTGTGCTAATCAGTATGTATGTATGTATGGATATCAGTAATTAAGTATGTGTCAAAGCCGCTAAGGGTTTTTGTGGTATCTGTGAGTGTGCATGTGTGTGTGTAAATATTTGTTTGGTTGTCTGTAGGTATTTATGAGTATGTATATCTTGATATGTGCCTGCAAGTATATGTGTATCCAAGTGTATGTCAGTATATATGTGTGTCTCTTTTGTATGTTTTTATTTGTGAATATCAGTGTGTTTGTCTGTGTGTTACATTACAAGGTAACCTTATGTATATCTCTGTTTGTTTATTTAAATCTGTTTGTGTTTGAATGTTTTTGTGTCTATCTGTGAGTGTTTCCCATCTGTGGGTATCTGTCTCTGTGTCAGTTTCTGTGTGTGTCAGTGTTTCTGTGGCTATCTGTAAGTGTGATTACATATGTGTAATCATCTGTGAACCTACAAATACCTATGTGTGTGTGTGTGTGTGTGTGTGTATGTGTATACAGTAGCTCACAAAAGTGAGTACACCCCTCACATTTTTGTAAATATTGTATTATATCTTTTCATGTGACAATACTGAAGAAATTACACTCTGCTACTATGTAAATTAGTACAGGTGGTCCTCATTTAGCGACCTACCTGTTTTACATTGGCCGTTATGGGGATTCCCTGCTCTGGTGCGCTTTTCTATGTTCGGAGAAACTTCCCCGAACATAGACGAACGCACCAGATCAGGGAATCCCTCTAATCTACGTTCGGGAAAATTTCCCCGAACATAGATTAGAGGGGTTCCCCGCTCTGGTGAGTTTGTCTATATTCGGGTATGTTTCCCTGAACATAGAAATGCGCACCAGAACAGGGAATCCCCATAACGGCCAATGTTGTGTGTTGAGTTATTTTGAGGGGACAGCAAATTTACGCTGTTATACAGGCTGTACACTTACTATTTTACATTGCAGCAGAGTGTCATTTCTTCAGTGTTGTCACATGAAAAGGTATAATACAATCACTTTTGTGAGATACTGTATCTTTTAAGTATCTGCGTGTGATAATGTATGTGAAGAAAACCCCTGTTTTATGGACTTAGTTCGACTGTTTTGTTCTCCCCCCTCTTAGAACACCAGTTTAAAAACCCTTAATACCTGTCATATTTTCAAATTCTGACCCTTTTAATTGTCATTTTGTTTTCCTCTGAGGAGGAGTTGTTTTGCTGCGTGAGTGCTGTTGCTTTTGTGTGCTCATTAAACAGACCTGTTTGACCCTTTCTTGAAGCCTTGGCTCATGCTTGGGGGATGGGATAAGTCTGCAGTGCTGATGGTGTTGGTTGGAGTGCTTGGAGTCCTCGGCAAGCACTAGGAGCATCGATTGGCGGAGGTACTCAGTCGGAGTGCCAGCGGGTCCGTCACAATGTATATCTGTGTGTTTTTATATGTGTGTGTGTGTGCATGTGTCTATATCTGTGTGTGTGTGTATATCTGTATGTGTGTGTGTTTATATCTGTTTGTGTGTGTGTTTTTATATAAGCGTGTGCATGTTTATATCTGTGTGTGTTTATATCTGTATGTGTGTGTGTTTATATATGCGTGTGCATGTTTATATCTGTGTGTGTGTGTGTTTATATCTGTGTGTGTGTGTTTATATCTATGTCTGTGTGTGTGCGCATGTGTTTGTTTGTTTTGTGTGTGTGTGTGTGTGCATGTTTATATCTGTGTTTGTTGTGTGTGTGTGTGTGTGTGTATGTGTGTGTGAGCCTGAATGGTAAAACGTAGTGCTGTAGATTACAGGTCACACAGAATCCCATGTTGTGTTATGTGCAGGCTGTGAGAATGAAACCGATGAGAGTGCAGTTTGGACACAGTGACAGCAGGCAAGCTGCCTACGTGAGCTTCTAAGTTTGGGCTAGAGGAGACCTTGGCATTCAGCGTCCCCCACCCCCAGGTCCCCCACCCCTTGTGACTGAAGAAGTTCAAGGTTGTCTCTTGATAACTTCAGATACTGTAATCACAATTTGTAAAATAACAGCACAAGCTGCAGCCAATGGGGACACAGAATGAGAGTCTCTCATAGAGAGAGACATATAGAGTGTCTCTTATATAGAGAGAGACTTCTAGAGAGTGTCTCTTACTGAGAGAGTGTCGAAACATATAGAGAGAATGTGTCTTATAGAGATAGTGTGTCTTATATAGAGAGAGACTTATAGAGAGTGTCTCTTATAGAGAGAGCGTCGAGACATATAGAGAGAGTGTGTGATTTACTTATAGAGAGGGAGATTTATAGAGAGAGTGTCTCTTATAGAGAAAGTCGTATAGAGAGACTTATAGAGAGTGATTTATAGAGAAATACGTATAGCGAGAGTGCCTTATGTAGAGAGACTTATAGAGAGTCATATAGAGACATATAGAGTTCTTTTTATTGAGAGAGACTTATAGAGAGTGTCTCTTATAGAGACAGAGAGTCGAGACTTATAGAGAGAGTGCCTTTTATAAAGATAAAGACGTGTAAAAAGAGTGCCTTATATAGAGAGATTGAGAGACTATGAGAGAAAGAGGTTTATTCACTAAACTCCGAATTGTAATGAATGTAAATCCTGATGGTGAAATTAAGGCTAAAATAGGCGAGATGGGGGCTGTGACTAAAACTGAGTTGGAGAATGTCTCAGATAGTTTACTCTATGTTATCATTGAGGTTCTGATTATAAATCAGAGTTTATTGATTGTGTTTTATAGAGAAGCCCTAACCCCATTCTATAAATTAAAACTCAAGGACCGCAGCCAGGGGGGGGGAGGGGGGGGTAATGAGAATGGGGCAACAGAGAGGCAGAGGGAACGTGTGTGTTTTATAGAGAGGCAGAGGAAATGTGTGTGTCTTATAGTGAGGCAAAGGGAATGTGTGAGTCTTATAGCGAGGCAAAGGGAATGTGTGAGTCTTATAGAGAGGCAGGGGGCATGTGTGTGTCTTATAGAGAGGCAGGGGGAATGTGTGCTTCTTATAGAGAGGCAAAGGGAACGTGTGTCTTATAGAGAGGCAGAGGGAACGTGTGTCTTATAGAGAGGCAGAGGAAATGTGTGTGTCTTATAGCGAGGCAAAGGGAATGTGTGAGTCTTATAGAGAGGCAGGGGGAATGTGTGCTTCTTATAGAGAGGCAAAGGGAACGTGTGTCTTATAGAGAGGCAGAGGGAATGTGTGCGTCTTATAGAGAGGCAAAGGGAACGTGTGTCTTATAGAGAGGCAGAGGGAATGCCTCTCTATAAAGAGGCAAAGGGGATGTGTGAGTCTTATAGAGAGGCAGAGGGAATGTGTGTGATAAAAAGGCAGAGGGAATGTGTGTCTTATATAGAGGCAGAGTGATTGTGTGTGTGTGTGTTATAGAGAGGGAGAGGGAATGTGTGTGTGTTATAGAGAGGCAAAGGGAATGTGTGTGTCTTATAGAGAGGCAGAGGGAATGTGTGAGTCTTATAGAGAGGCAGAGTGAATGTGTGTGTCGTATAAAGAGACAGAGAGAATGTGTGAGTCTTATAGAGAGGCAGAGAGAATGTGTGCACCTTATGGAGAGGCAGGAGGGAATGTGTGTGTGTGTTACAGAGAGGCAGAGGGAATGTGTGTGTCTTATAGAGAGGCAGAGGGAATGTGTGTCTTATAAAGAGGCAGAGGGAATGTGTGTCTTATAGAGAGGCAGAGTGATTGTGTGTGTTATAGAAAGGCAGAGAGAATGTGTGTCTTATAGAGAGGCAGAGGGAATGTGTGCATCTTATAGAGAAGCAGAGGGAATGTGTGTGTGTTATAGAGAAGCAGAGGGAATGTGTGTCTTATAGAGAGGCAGAGTGATTGTGTGTGTGTTATAGAGAGGCAGATGGAATGTGTGCATCTTATAGAGAGGCAGAGAGAATGTGTGTGTCTTATAGAGAGGCAGAGAGAATGTGTGTGTCTTATAGAGAGGCAGGGGGAATGTGTGCATCTTATAGAGAGGCAGAGGGAATGTGTGTGTTATAGAGAGGCAGAGGGAATGTGTGTCTTATAGAGAGACAGAGTGATTGTGTGTGTGTTATAGAGAGGCAGAGGGAATGTGTGCATCTTATAGAGAGGCAGAGGAAATGTGTGTGTCTTATAGCGAGGCAAAGGGAATGTGTGAGTCTTATAGAGAGGCAGGGGGAATGTGTTCTTCTTATAGAGAGGCAAAGGGAACGTGTGTCTTATAGAGAGGCAGAGGGAATGTGTGTGTTATAGAGAGGTTGAAAGTGTTGGAGTATTCCCACAGAACCTGTCTGTCAGAGCCCTGTGATTGGTTGCTTTAAGCAGCCAATCAGAACACGAAGATTTGCGAGTGGATTTCTCGTGGGGTTCACATGTGCCATTGTGTTGTGATAAGTCACTGTGTGTTGCCTGCTATGGTTTGACTGTTTGTGATTTTATTGAGGTTTCACAACAATGTTATTGTGGTGACCCTATGGGCTGGTCCCAAGGGAAATAAAGGTTTAGACAGTTCTTCTTGATCCCTCTAAATGTAGCCTTGTCTTGTTATTGGCGGGAGCTGTTATAATCACACTGGGGATTGCTATGCTCTGCATGCTCACCTGAGCTTGAATCACTTAGCTCTTTTAAGAGCTTGTTCCTGACACGCTCTCCTTGGAGGAGAGGTCTTCACCACACAGTCCTGGAGGCTGGAGGCTGGAGGTTCATACAGGGTGGAAGGAAGAGATCTTTCCTACACGGTCCTGCAGGACAGAAGCTGATCCAGGGTGGAAGGAAGATGGCGAGACTCGAGTCAAGCTACAGCGGTTGCGGAGTCTGCGGTGGTTGTGGTGGCTGCTGCAGTGCTTGGAGTCCTCAGGACCCCAGTCGGGGTGCCAGGTGATCTGTTACACTACCTTTCATTAAATCTGAAATATCTATTTTAAATTAATGCAATACTTACCAATCACAGTTTTGTTTTTTCAATCTTCTCACTTTGAACCAAAAAAAAGGCAAAATAAAAAATGTGATACAATTGTTAAAAAAAGACAGTGTCTTTAAAAAAGTGTGCTGTAAATATAAAAACACTGGCACAAAAATATAAAATCTATGAGAGGTTATTGAGGGCTCTGCATCAACTGAGCAAGTAAGGCGGGAACGTCTGGTTATACAGGTTATATATAGGTGTATATAGGTTATAGTACATGTGACGAGACCAATCTCGCCACATTGCATTGGAGAAGCCTGGTTGCTCGCCTGCTGCCTTTGGACTATGGCCCCCTTTTAAAAGACTTTATTTTTGCATGCAGAAAAGCTGTATTCGTGCTTTTCTGCCGGTTGTTCGGTAGTTTCAATCTACCGAACAACCGTACTAATGACTGGACCACCTGGGAGCTGGAGTGTGCCGGCAATTAACCTCCCTGAAGCTGCGGTTAACCGCAGCTTAATTGATGAACGCTGGGTGGCCGCCGTTCGTATCCCGAACACGAGGTTGCGGCCATTTTAAACCATACGAATGAACAGCGGTGTTCGCCTCTATTTTTATGGAACTAAAATCGGACACAGTTTTGCGCGAACACCGCTGAAGCCGCCGACCTCCCTTCTTGTTCGGTGAAAGCACACGAATGACCCGGTGTTCGGTATTTTTGTGTGAATGTCTTATACCCTAGATAGGAATCCCATGGAGCCCATTCGTATGAAACTGACTGTAAAGACTTTGGCTCCATGGCGATTGAACTGTATTCGTGTAGTCTGAGTGCCATTCACCTAATAATGTGCACTCAGACCTGAGCTATCTGGGGATATGTTACATGTCTGTGTTTTATGTAGTAAATGTTACTTTGTGCATTTTAAAGTGTTATGCTGGTTTTGTGTTCCCACGTGTGTAATGGAGTTTTGCCTTTGTCTTGGGAGATAATTGAGCTACTTCCCAATTATCTCCCAGGGCAGAGGGGAGGAAGCCAGGATGCATTGTGGGAATATACTGTGACTGTGTGTCCTTTTTGTATACTTGTCTGTCCCTTGTCACAGTCTCCCATTTGGTCCCCTAGGGGAGTGTCCATCAGGTGGGAGACCTGCATAAAAGCTGGGCAGGTAGCCCTCATTAAACAGACCACTGCTTGACCCTCAACACGGAGCCTTGTCTCGTCTTTGGGGGGATTTACTGTATGCTGCTAAGGACTGATTGCCAGGAGTGTAAGCCGCTTGGAAGTTTTTCCTGTTCGCCTGCTAGCAGCTATTCGTATGGTTCCTGTTCGTTTATTTGAAGTGCTACCTTATTCCCTTGTATGCCGTTCGGGAGTTTGGAGCATTCACTTATTGGCGGTTCGTGAGTTTTGGTGATTCTACAGTAGCTGTGCCTGTCTCTGAAAGGGGGATTATCGTCTAAGCGGTTTTTACCCCTTTTATGCTAAACGGTCCGTTACAGTACAGACTTCCCATGGTTTGAATGTCATGTAGCCCCAAGGAGCCAAAGCACAGCTTAGCGGAGGAGGGCCTTGACAGGGGTTAGGAGGAGCCGGCCAGGACTGTTGGGTTGTGGGAGTAAGGGGTTGGTCTACTTAAGGAGGTAGCCATTTTGGATAGAGCACATTTAATTTCCTACCTGGTTGAGTTTGTGTGCACTCTGGTGCTCACTGCTTTGCTGGGTAGGGCTTTTCTCTTTTTGTCTCCCTCTGCAGGGCCACGGAGGACGTGGAGAGGTTGCTGGCTGGAGTCCGGGCGGCAGCACTGCGACAGGGAGCGGGCTGGGTGCGGGCCCAGCTGGACCAGCTCCCACCCGGCGGCGGCAGGGTGGGATGGCGTCAGAGGAAGACCGACGCGGGCCAGGAAGCCCCCACGGCGCCTGAGTCCAGGTGCAGAACCGGAGGTTGGAGGCACCGGTGGTCTGGAGGCAGCGGGTGGCAGCAGCAACGGGCGGCAGCAGCAGCAGGCCCGGAGGCCATGTGGTTGAGGCCCCGTCTCCTACGGTGCAGCCGGGGCCTCGGCGGGGAGCTTCCCGGAGGGCGGCGGCCTGGGAGGCAGGCGGCGCACCACCTGGAGTGGGTGGGGTGGCGCCTGGAGCAAGGGCTGCACCGGCGGACGAACAGCCCTCTCCAGGGCAAGGAGGGACAAGGACGCGACCCAGGAGGGCGCCCCCACTGCTGGAGGCCGCAGAGGACATAGCCAGGGGCAGGACGCCCCGGAGCAGGCCCCAAGCGAGGCAGACACAGCAGGCAAGTGCAGGGGAACCTCCAACGGGCCCCCTTGGCGTGCAGGATGCGGGAGGTGAGAAGCTGGGGGATAGTGCCCGGGTAGATGGGGGGGAGAGGGAGAGTTTCCCCCAGGAGGCCGGTGGTGGGAGAGGAAGGGCCACATGGGGTGCCAGCTAGCCGCAGGCGGAGGGGAGAGGTTGGGGGGCAGGCTGACACAGCGCAGGGGTCAGCGGGCAGGTCTCAGGGGGCGCGGAGTGGGTCCACTAGCCGGGGGGCAGGGGGAGTAGGTGGGGAGAAGGCATCGTATTTAGGCCGGCCCAGTGGTTTTGGGGGGAAGGAGGGGCAGAAGGCAGCGGAGGGGAGGGGGTGTAGAGAGGCCCACGGTAGCTTGGGGGCCGGAAGTGGGGGGCTTAGGCGGAGTAGGTCCAGCAATAGGTCAGGCTCCAGGTCAAGCAGCGTTAGCCTCTCCCCGGTTAGGGACGCTAGGGCAAGGGGGCATCCGGAGAGGCGGCGGCACCGCAGGTCTAAGTCCGCTAGTTCAGCAGGAGGTAGGTCAGGGTCACCCATGCATGGTCGACGTGGGCAGGCTTCAGGGGGAGACGGTAGGAGTCGTAGCCTGCGGGGAGGGGCCATTCGGGCCTCAGGATGGCAGCAGCGGAGCAGCGGGAGGCCTTGGCGACAGGCAGGCGCTCCCTGGGTCGGGAGGGTGGGCGAGGAACAGTACACCCTGCCCAGGACTTCTTCTCCTCGTTTCAGATCTCGGAGCCACTCCTCATCAGTGTTCGTGAGGCACCGGGCGGGCTCCCCGGTTGGCGGGACATCAATGGATGTTGCTCATCCTGGAAACACAGCGGTTCCCAGTGCAGCCCCGGGCACTTCTGGATCGAGGGGCTTGGCCGGTGAGTCCAGCGAATCGCTGCATCCCAGCACGCTAGTGCAAACACTACAATCACTACTCCACTCACTGGGGGCGGGGGGTGGTACAGGGGACAGCGTAGGGCAGGTTTGGGCGGCAGCAGCGGGGCCCAGTGTGGGGACGTGGGGCCGCGCTCGGCACGGGAGATACAGGAAGCAAGCGGGCAGAACTAACCGGGGGGGTGTCGGACGCGGCGAGGCAGCACGCGTATGTATCGTTTGCTGGCCCGCTCGGGGTTCACCTCAAACAGGAGGTGAAAGATCAAATTTGGAAAGGGGAGTTTTGCGAGATCTTCTCCCTCCTTCCTTTGGAGGACTTCATTGACCTCAAGGAGGAGGATAAAAAGGATGAGAAGAAGGAAGAGGAGGAGAAGCGGAAGCGGTATCGCAAGATACCGAAATAATTTGGGAACTAGTTGAGGGCGTTCTGCGTCCTGGCCAGTGTGATAGGGGAGAAATCGCCGGGCGCGTGCTCTTCTCTGTTTCGCTACTTGGAAGGGATTTGGGAGGCATACCGCACCTATGGCGGGCTGGCCTGGTGGCGGTATGACGAACAGTTCCGGCAGCGGCTGGCGGCCAATCCGGTTATGAGGTGGGACCAGATGGACCTGCCTCTCTGGATGAAGCTGATGATGGCGCAAAAAGCGCAGCCCTTTCAGCACGCGGCTGGCGCAAAAGGTCAGTCCGCCTCGTCAGCCGCCTCACGAAAGGGATTATGCTGGCTTTTCAATCAGGGTCAGTGCAAGTGGGGTGCTTCCTATTGATTTAAGCACGAATGCTCGGGCTGCAGGGGGGGCTCACGGGTTGCAGTGATGTTTCAAGAAAGGTAAGTCAGGGGGAGCAGGAGCTCCTTCAGCACCCGGAGGTGGGGGGGCTTCCGCTGCCCCGGGGACTCACCCCGGTGAAGATAGACACAATGGAGCCCTGGGTAAGCCGCTACGGTAATAGGGCGGACGCCGAGGTACTCAAGGCTGGGTTCGGGCGGGGGTTCTTTATCCCGTTTCCGGGGCAGGGACGGTACGGTATGCCCGCGTAATCTGAAATCGGTGGTGGAATTTCCGGGGGTGGTGCGGGACAAGCTGGGCAAGGAAGTGTTGTTGGGTAGGATGGAAGGACCGTTTCGGGCACCACCGATAGAGGGCCTCCGGGTTTCCCCTCTTGGGGTGGTCCCCAAGAAGGATCCAGGGAAGTTTAGGCCCATTCACCACCTATCCTACCCTAAGGAGGGGGGAGGTTGGGGGGCAGGCTGCACTTCAGCGGCTGCAATCGCTGATAGGGATGCTCAACTTCGCCTGCAGGGTGATACCGATGGGTAGGGTGTTTAGCTGCAGCCTGTCGGCAGCTACCGCGGGGGCACGGTCCCCGCACCATTTCATACAGGTATCTTCATCCATGCGGGCCGACTTGGTAGTATGGGACACCTTCTTACGGGATTTCAACGGGACGGTGTTCTTCCGGCAGGAAGGCGTGTCAGCGGCCGAATTGGAGCTGTTCACTGATGCGTCTGTTGGCGTGGGGTTTGGGGCCTACTTCGGTGGGAGATGGTGCGAGGAAAAGTGGCCGGTGGCGTGGGGGCAGAGCCCCCTCATGTGTAACTTGGCTTTCCTGGAATTGTTCCCGTTGGTGGTGGCGTTGGCTCTGTGGGGGGGATAGCTTGCGGGACCGGAAGGTTGTCTTTTTCTCGGACAAGTCCGTGGTGCATGCGGTTAACAACCAGTCGGCAACGTCAAGGCCAGTGGTGACGTTATTGCGGCGATTTGTCTTGCTGTGCATGTCCCTTAATGTGGTCTTTCGCACGCGCCATGTGCCAGGGTACTTGAACGAGGTGGCTGACGCTTTGTCTCGTTTTCAGTGGTCCAGATTTCAGACGGTGGCCCCGGAGGCGCAGGACGTGGGCCAGGCGTGCCCGAACGAGATGTGGCAGTTAGGAGCGTCCTGCTTGGGGGACTCATGAAGGCTTCACTCGCGCCGGCCACCTGGGCCACCTACAATAAGGTCTGGGGTGCATGGGAGTGTTCCTGGGAAGGGCTGGGTAGGCGAGCAACGGGGGAGCCGCTGCTGGACGCCTTCCTGTGGTTCACCTACCACTTGTTGGCGTTAGGCGCGTCTCCAGCAGTGGTGGACAGGACCATGGCAGCAATGGCCTTTTGGTTCAAGCTCCACGGGGGGGAAGACCTTACCAAGGCTTTTGTTGTCAGGCAGGCTCTAAAGGGTTCCGGATGCTAGACGCCCGGTGTCGGTATGGGTGCTGGGGGGCCTAATCCAAACCTTACCAGAGATCTGCTTCAATGGGTTTGAGGTGTCTCTGTTCAGGGCGGCATTCCTTCTGGCCTTTTTCGGGGCCTTTAGGATTGGGGAATTGGTAAGCGCCACACGGTTGGCATCAGGGGGCATACAGGGGGCATATAGGGGGTTCACACACTCGGGGGGAAGTTGGTGGTACACCTGGCCAGGTCCAAGACAGACGTGACGTGAGGCTGGGACGTGACCCTGGGCGCCCTACCGGGTTCCACTTTGTGTCCAGTGGCTGCGGTAACGCAATACTTGGAGCAGAGGCCGGCGGTTGACGCTCTCTCGCTTCCAATTCAACAAAGTTTTCCGGTTGGGTTTAGGAAGGTTGGGGTTATGTGCGAGCACCTACGGTAATCACTCCTTTCGCATCGGGGCGGCCACGGAGGCTGCGCTCTTGGGGCTTGGGGACGAGCTGGTCAAGAGGATCGGGAGATGGGAGTTGGTCTGGTTCCGCTTGGGTTTGTTGGATCTCTAGCCGGGACCCGTGGGGGACTCCGGTGGGCAAAGGGGTATACTCTGTCTTTCCTCCTTCCCCAGGTCGTGTCGCATGGATCGTGGGCCATTCCTTTGTCTTCTGGGCCGCGAGGAGGGCTGCAGCTCGAGCTCAAGGCCAGCAGCTGGGCTTTCCAAAGGACCAGTTGGCGGTGCGATGGTTCGGGTACAGGGGATATTGCTGGAGGGACGTGTGCGGGCGGTATTTCGAATGGTAGCGGGCGGGGTGAGGCTCGACATGTTGGTACTGCATGCAGGGGGCAAAGACTTAGACCTCATACCGCAACGGAGGCTAGTCAAATGGATGGAACAGGACCTTAACAGGCTGGTCGATCAGCTTCCCGGGGTAATGTTGGTGTGGTCAGAGATGGTCCTGCGGCGACACTTGAGGCACGCACGGGACCCTGCGGCCTTGGACAGATGTAGGGGTAAGGTTAACAGCCTGATGGCGAGCTTCGTGAGGAAGTTGGGGGGGTAGTGGTGAGGCACGGGGAATTGGAAGGCGGTTTGCCAGGGTATTACCACCCAGACGGCGTTCACCTGTCAGCAGTGGGTTGGGACCTGCTGAACCTGGGGTTACAGGAAGGGATGCAGAGGGCACTCTTTCTCCGGGGTGGGGGAGCTCAGACAGCTTAAGGGGTCAATGTCTGAGCCCGTGGCGGGATAGGGAGCCGAGGAAGAGGAAATAGGCTCCCACGAGGAATGTCACAGACATGGAAATTGTGGTCACTGGTGGTTGGTAGGTTTCGAGTCCTGGAGGTGGCTCAGAACCTGGTGGGGTATGGGTATCCAGGTATACCCCTGCCATGTTTATTTATGGTTGGCACTTAAATTGTTATGTTGGAGTAAGGTTGCAAATTGTTAGAGATATATATGTGTTAGTATGTTGGGGTCATTGCCCGTTATATTAAAAGAAGGATGCGGATGCGAGGGCGGAGTATGGGGGCAATGACCCATGTGTATATGTTAAATTATTATTATATTATAATTGTTATTACTAATAAACTTAGTATCTTTATTATTATAATGGTTAATAAAAGCTGTGGACAATTTTACCCATATACCCTAGTGTCAGTGTTTTATTGGGTTAGGTATGTGGGGGTTTTGTCCTAGGTTCCGACTGCCCATATGGCGACTATACACCGGTCATGTAGCCCCAAGGAGCCAAAGCACAGCTTAGCGGAGGAGGGCCTTGACAGGGGTTAGGAGGCAGGCTTAGGAGGAGCCGACCAGGACTGGTGGGTTGTAGGAGTAAGGGGTTGGTCTACTTAAGGAGGTAGCCATTTTGGATAGAGCACATTTAATTTCCTACCTGGTTGAGTTAGTCCCACCCATCCTCCCTGGATTTTGAGTTAAATGAGTGTATCCCGTTTTGTCACAGCGGCGGGATAGGGAGCCGAGGAAGAGGAAATAGGCTCCCATGAGGAACGTCACGGGCATGGAAATTGTGGTCACTGGTGGTTGGTAGGTTTCGAGTTCTGGAGGTGGCTCAGAACCTGGTGGGGTAGGGGTATCCGGGTATACCCCTGCCGTGGTTATTTATGGTTGGCACTTAAATTGTTATGTTGGAGTAAGGTTGCAAATTGTTAGAGATATATATGTGTTAGTATGTTGGGGTCATTGCCGTTATATTAAAAGAAGGATGCGGATGCGAGGGCGGAGTATGGGGGCAATGACCCATGTTTATATGTTAAATTATTATTATATTATTATAATTGTTATTACTAATAAACTTATCTTTATTATTATAATGGTTAATAAAAGCTGTGGACAATTTTACCCATATACCCTAGTGTCAGTGTTTTATTGGGTTAGGTATGTGGGAGTTTTGTCCTAGGTTCCGACTGCCCATATGGCGACTATCCACCAGTCATGACAACTTCCTTCTCTTCTTGTTACCACTGCCCATTGCTTAATAAAATAGACTACACCATTCTTAGATGGATAGGGCAAGGGCCAAAACTTATTTATAACAATACCAGCAAAATATTCTTACCAACTCTCAGCTACTGTATTATAAACCAGTAGACGGATAACCCAACCATTTTCCAAGAGTCTTCTCTGACCTGCTTCCCATCTTCGACTAACAAGCAGGATGGACCTCCCAAGCCCAGCACGGGCAGCGATTTACTTACCACGCTGGTGGGGCTGAACCGCAAACTGTGACTAAGCAAATAAAGGAAAGAAACATTGACAAAAACAATAAGCAAAGACAACAGTAAACTCGTCAAACAATCCATAAAGGGGCGGGTGGTTGGGAACTTTTATTGCCAGGCTCCCTCAGCAGTACCTAGGCTTTGTCTAACTCTTTTCTCAAGATCGCCCAGTCCAAGTAAGGTAATCAACATTGTATTTTAGTCAGCATGACCACCACAATGGCAGCACTCCTCTGTGGGTCTGGGGAAAGGCCTTCACCAGTCTTAGATTAGCTAGTTTAGAGACTTGCACAGCTGAATGGCCCCTATTACACTGTGTAGAGTGCTGTAAGCACTGTAATTAGGCCATAAAACTCTCCTGCAAAAAGTGAGTGAGAAGTGGTGTGACGGAGCTTCCTGTACCCCGGTTGGGTACCTCCGTCGACGGATGCTCCAAGCACTCCACCAGACACCATCAGCACTGCAGACCCCACGACCCGGGCAGCTTGTTGGGGTCTCGCTGTCTCCTACACACCCTGGGCCTACTACAAGTCTCCAGGTCCCAATGGGTGAACCGCTCTTCCTCCAGAGAGTCAGCAGGAATAGCTCTTACAAGAGCTCAGGGAATCCAAGGAAGTATAGTGATTATAGCAATCCTTTGCAGTGATATAGCAATTCCCCCCAATAAGAGACAAGACTCTAGATTGAGGGTGAAGTAGAACTGAAAGTTTAATGGAGCATACTGGTATTTTATACAAGTTTCCCAACAAGGTTGACGCCCAGGTGGGCCTCGTTGGGTACAGGACACAAAACATGCAAGCCAATAAAAACAGTGTAACAATGAACGACACTCCCACACACAGCACACAATCCCTCCCCTCTGCCTGTGATATAATTAGGACAGATAATGTATTAACTTAATTCTCCCCAGGCAGAAAAAACCCACATTTATATTAAGTCCAATAAGTACCCCAAAACACAACATATCTCCATAACACATCCTCTGATAGCCCTGATCTGGGTGAACAACATATCCAACAATCACCCAGATCAGATCAGGGGTTTGGAAATTCTATGGAAGTCAAAGTTTTGCCCACGCAAACACAGGATTTCATGCCCAAAACAGTTCAATAGAATCGGGGCTAAGTGCCGCTGGAGGGCCGACCGGGAACCGCAAGGTTTTCATGCAAGGTTTTTGCCTTCTTTTGGATCAACATCAAAAAACAAATATGAGGTAGGCTTAACTTGATGGACGCAAGCTATGTAACTATGTAACTATGCTGAAAATAGTTCCAGGGTGTTAGAGACTAAGTCCCCCTGAAGTCTATTCGTGGTTTTGGTCCATGCGAACAAGATGGCCGCCACCTGGTGGCCACTTCGACTGTTTGGGAGTTCGAAGAACCAATGTTTTACGTCCCAATAGGCACAATTAGGGTCTCTCAACCAAAATAAATTAAAGGGACCATAGTCACAGAGCAAAAGGATGGCAAGTAGTCCTTTCCAAAGCCCGGTGGCGAAGTGGCTTTCGTCACAAGTGGGTCATGCTACGGCCATATTAAATGAATTTACTACTGCGTTGGTGCCTTTAAGCCAAAATCCTACAGTTCAGCTATTTGCCCATTTTGGCTCTTTTGGGTTAAAATTATAAATTCATTTTGAGTTCACTTGGAATTTTCTCCAGTTCACACTTGTAAACCGTTATTAACAGTATATAGTAAACATTAACAAATACAAACTACCGACACATTTCAAGCCTTGTCGCTATTTTCTTGGGATCTACCATTACTCTACTAAATTTTATGTAATCTCAGAACTCCAAGCTGCATAGTTCTCAGTGACTTTATGGACCTACTATCATCACTGCCCTCGGCTAACCCCAGGGGGTTGTTCATCAGGCAATAAGATTTATTGCGTTTATAAATATATTAAGCCTTAACGTTAGGGAGTCCGAGTGTGTGTGTTCACCTGTTGGCTCCAATGGAAGGAGGAGGGAATGGTGATGGTCTGGACTGCAGGCTTATTTATTAATACATTTAATCTTTTATGATTAGTGTAGACAGTTCAGCGCTCCAGCCTGTGTGAGTCTCTTGAATGTACTCCTAGTGATTTCTAATGAAGAGCCATTAATAGACAGATTTTGTGCCTTACACGGACATTATGAACTAATTTTTTGCATACGACTAGTTGGAATAAATATTGATTTATGGGTGCCCGAATGGTAGAATTACTCAGATGTTCTAGAATTACAGCTTCAGTGATGCCTTGTCATTCTAAGGGCTGAGAGGTAGTGTAACATCTGAGGATCAATCTATCTTCTGGATATTAAAAAGAGATTTTACCTTTACTACCCATGATTTGCTGGCGATATATATCCATGAATGCCCAACATGTACTTCTGTCCTGAGAAAAGATGTGCTAAATTTTACTGAATCATTATGATTGCAAGGAAGACCATATTAAGTATGAATCACAGGAATCCCCCAAAGAGTTAAAAGGTGTCACTTTTCCAACATTTTGCCATGAAAATTTGAACATTTCTCTGTGAGACACTATTTTCTGAATTTAAACGATTTTTGACATGGAAAAAGTGCTTTGCTGTTTTGAAAGTACTTTTACTCATACAATAACTTTCTGCAGCCTGTGGCACATCGTAATATAACATTCACTCTGTGTTTCTTTGGACAGATTGCCATCTTTTTGTACCGGTCACAGTTACGATCATCGTAATGAGGAATTCTATTATCTACCGGCAACCTTTACTCCAAAATCTTGCATTGTGTGCTGGAGGGGAGAGTGTGGCTAAGAATTAACATTCATGGGTTTAGAATGACTGAAAACAGATTTCTAGACCTTAAAAAGCATATTAGAAAATGGAGTGAATGTCCTCTGCTGTCCATTGGTCTCGAGACCTCAACCACCAGAACATTTGAGGTTTTAGTGTTAAAAATAAAACAATAAATCTGCTGGAATTTCAGAATTACTCATGAGACGAGGAGAAAAATAGTAATTTCTGAGAAATGTATCAGCTTTCTGATATGAGGTGGTTGAAGACATTTGTGACCCAGCAAATTTGGACTACAATTCCCAGATTAAGAGAAAGGTAGTCCATTAACTGGCCCTGAAATGCTAATGGGACTGTATCCATTGTCCTCCAAGGAAAAGACATAACGATAAAATGCAGAGGCAAAAATTAAATAAAGGATTCCTGAACTACTCTAACCAGCAGAATTTATTATGCAAAATTATCAGCATAATTCTGCATGGGCTTATGGGTAACGGTCACTGCAAGCTAACTGATTCCTGTGGAAATCTCTTCCCTTTTCTGTTAGACGCTCACCATAGGCGTGCGCACGGGGTGTGCCGGGTGTGCCGGGTGTGCCTGGGCACACCCTAATCCCCGTGGCACGCCTAGCAGTGAGACTGGCAGGGGAGATCTCAGGATCTCCCCTGCCGGCTCATGCAGAGCCGGCGCTATCCGAGCGCCGGCTCTGCTCTCAGCCTCCCTCCCCACTGACCCACATGCAGGGAGGGAGGCAGGAGAGGACCGGCGGAGCTATTGCCGGCAGCTCCGCCGGGTTCCTCTCGCGAGATATGAGCGTTGCCACGGCAACGCTCAAATCTCGCGAGAGTGAACTCTAGCCCCACAGGGGCTAGAGTTCACTCTCCACTGGACCACCAGGGATGGAATCAGCAGCACGATCCCCCCTCCCTACAAAAGGTAAGAAGGGAGGGGGGATAGCAAGTAATGTACCCCCACCTCCACCCCCACAATCACCCACCCACATACAGCACACACATACACATACAGCACCCACAGACATACACAGCACACACACATACAGCACACATACAGCACACACAGACATACAGCACCCACAGACATACACAGCACCCACACACATACAGCACCCAGACAGCACCCACACACATACAGCACCCACACACACATACAGCACCCAGACAGCACCCACACACATACAGCACCCACAGACATACACAGCACCCACACACATACAGCACCCAGACAGCACCCACACACATACAGCACCCACACAGCACCCACACAGCACCCACAGACATACACAGCACCCACACATATACAGCACCCTCACAAACACACACAGCAC